TAAAAAAATAGTGGCCTATACCTGAAATTGAGTCATACCTGGGTCATCGGGCCCTCGTGGAACTGTTGGAGAACAAAATCCCAAAGGAACCACTAGTTTCTCATCTAGACTGAGATATCTTGTCAACCCATTTCCAGGACTCACGTCATTCAGCTGCTCCTTCTGTAGTTCGCTTTATCCACACCCTCCTGTCATTTACAAGGTGCCTCCAGGGGACTGACAACTGCCCATGGGCCCCACCCAGCCAGGAGCATCTCCCCTCCTGGGAGCTCAGGTCCCCAAGTCACAATCTGCATCTTGTCAGAATCCCCAGCATTTTCAAGTTTGAAGACGCTAGTCTACATTAGATGAGTTTTCTGATGACTCCCAGTTGTTCACTGGTAATAAATCTCATTTGTCTTTACCAGGGCTTTACTCCTGTATATTACTTCTTATTGTCCCTAATTTCTTCCTTCTTCAGAATCTGCTCTTCCCTGATGCTGGCATTATTGTCATAAAAAAAAAAAAACTGATCATGACGCTCAGTCTTTTTTTTTTTCTGGTTTGCTTGGGACCTACCCAGGTTTTTTTTGTTTGTTTTTTTTTTAATTTTTATTGGAGTATAGTTGATTTACAATGTTGTGTTAGTTTCTGCTGTACAACAAAGTGAATCAATTATACATATACATATATTCGCTCTTTTTTAGATTCTTTTCCCATATAGGTCATTACAGAGTATTGAGAAGAGTTCCCTGTGCTATACCGTAGGTCCCTGTTAGTTATCTATTTTATGATGCTCAGTCTTGCTTAACTATGAATATGGTTAAAAAGTTAACTTATTGGGCTTCCCTGGTGGTGCAGTGGTTAAGAACCCGCCTGCCAATTCAGGGGACACGGGTTCAAGCCCTGGTCTGGGAAGATCCCACATGCCGCAGAGCAGCTAAGCCCACGCGCCACAACTACTGAGTCTGCGCTCTAGAGCCCGCACGACACAACTACTGAAGCCCTCACACCTAGAGTCCGTGCTCCGCAACAAGAGAAGCCACCATAATGTGAAGCCCGCGCACTGCAACGAAGAGTAGCCCCCGCTCACTGCAACTAGAGAAAGCCTGTGTGCAGCACAACAAATTAATTAATTAACTTATTAAGGGACAATCGGCTTTTCTGAAAACATTAAATATATGGGTACATGGATGCATTATTTAAATTAAAAAAATAATATATCAATGAAGTTCCTTTTCTCAGTAATTAGATATTGCACTGTTATAATTTTATAAGCTCACCAATGGACAGGATTGAGTACAGACACCTCAGCCAGGCAGCCGAGGAAATCCATGGAGCCCCCGCCTCCATCGTCATTCCTGCCTCTTGTCACCCGCCCCCCACCCGCTTTGTGCTTCATTCTCCGAGCTCTCCCACCCAGTCCTCTGCACTTCCGAATGGCTCTGGTGATACTGGGATCAGGGTTTTGAGCATCCCCATGTCTCATTGCTACCTGGAAATTCTGTATTTTCTCTTTTAAGATAGCATCCTATTTAAATGCCTAGTGCTGACTGGAAAATCATAACTTGGTAACCATCGCAGTAAAGACTGGTTTAGGCAAGAATCATCAATGGATGTATGGTCTTAAAGTGTCTCCCCAGATATGGTCTTCAGTACAAGGCAGAAATCGAGCAGCACCAGATGTGATGCCCCGGGAAGGACACAATTCCGCTCAAGTCAGTGCTGGATCCAACCATGTGGGAGCCTCAGGTAAATCCCAGTAAGAAATGGTCAGCTACCAAAAAGAAGTCCCGACCCTTCAAGAATGTTGTCACAAAAGACAAAAACACAACTGTGAAATACTCCAGATTAGAGGAAGTTAGGGACATGACGACTAAACTCAAATCCTAGACTGGATCCTGTGCTAGAGTAAGGCCATGTTATAAAACACTCTTGGGTCAGTTGTCAAACTGGAGTATGGATGGTAGGTTATGTAAAATATTGCATCAGTGTTAAATTTACTGAACCAGGTAACTACTGTGGTCATGTAAGAGAATGTCCTTGTTCTTAGGAAACACGCATCGACAGAACTAAGGGTCTTTGGTGTGTGCAACTTACAGATGGTTCAAAGAAGAAAAAGGAGAGAGAGAGAGAGCATGCACGTGCTTGATCACTTGGCAAATTAGAGAGAAACCCTGGAGGAAAATGTTAGCGATAATTGAATCTGGTAAAGGCAGTACTGGTGTCCTGTGCACTAGTTTTGCAACGTTCTGTAAGCTTAAAATTATTTCCAAATAAAAGTCTAAATTTTAAAATATGTATTTTTACAAATTAAAAAAAAACATTCAACCCAATGACATGTTTCTCTAAGCAAAGGTAAATCACACGCTACCAATAACAACACACACCTATTCTCAACTGTACAACAACATGCGGACCTACCCTGGGGAGATGTGGAAAATCACGTCTTTGTTGTCAGGTCCATTCCTAAGGCAAAGGTCAGCTCTCCCTCTCTTGTCTTTTCTGCATCAAGGGTTTAAGCTGCTCAGTAGGTCAGTTTTAAGTTGTAAGGGAAGTTTTAAGTTGTAAGGGAAGCCATCACCCAGTGATACCAGGTGGCTGTTATTCTCTAGCACCACCCCTCGGTATGGGTTCTTCCGAGCAGGACTCCTCAGCCTTCACACCTCTTAGGTGAAATCCACATCACATCCCTGAAGAGCAGTGTGGACTAGAAAAAAAAAAAAAAAAAAAAAAAAAAAACAAAAAAAAACAAACATCATCCGTAGTGCCAGACTCCCTGAATTCAGCTTGGAGAAGTTGCTTAACCTTGCTTTTTCTTTGTTGCCTCATTGTAATGAGCTATTGTAAGGAATTTTTATTTATTAATTTACATAATTGTGAGCATTATACATTTACATATATACATGTAAAGAGTGTTCCACAGAGGTAAGGGAGGAGCCAGGATATATAGGAGTTTTTGAAGGAAAAACAAACAAACCAAATATCAAATCATTCCTTTGATATGCACCCAACTACCTAGGGCCAGTACCCTTTTTTCTCCATCCTGAATCGCCTCACGGTGCACAGTTGGGAGGGGCTGCAGTGGCCACAACAGCCTTTGTTTACTGATCGGGCAGGTGACTTCCTGGAGTTTCTTTGTCCACATAGCTAATGTGGACTAAGAATGCCACCTGCCCGATCAGTAAACAAAGGCTGTTGTGGCCACCAAGGCATCAGCCACTGCAGCCACACCTCGCCCCCCACGGTGCACCCTGAGGGGGTTCAGGATGGGAAAGAACAGGATACTGGTCCCAGATAGCTAAGGTGCATAGCAAAGGAATGATCTGAGTGAACCCAGACTCTTGCATCTTCCCATACATAGAAAAGCACTAAATTTATTAACTTGATGTCTGATTTTCTTTAATTAACAGTAACCTTTTGATGTTCTGACTACCTGGTTTTTGTTGCAAAACTCCTATATATCCTGGCTCCCCCACTCCCTCTTCGGAGCAGTCCCGCAGAGCTAACTGAGAGGCTGCCTCCTAAGCTTGAAGTCCTCAGAAAGTCCGCCTGATAAAACATAATTCTCAACTTTCAGGTTGTGCATTTTCAGTCGACACTAATTTCTTGGTGAATGACTAGTCATAGGGTGGGGCAGAGAGGGATGTGGAGAGAGGGTCCAAGTCAGACTGGGCACTTTCTCCAGGGCAGGGGCTGAATGGAATTCATTACGAACAAGGCAGCTTCCGGGCAAGAGAAGGGGATGGATTCAGCCTCCAAGAGCTAAAAAGGAATTTTAGGAAATTCTTGTCTCTCCCTGGCTTTCCGGGCCATGTGAATATTTTCTTGGTCTTCCTAGAGGACAAAATTTCAGAAAGCAAATCTGAGGAAAGTAAACAGAACTGAGAAGGTGCCCTAGTGGAAACGCCCTTCCACAGTGAAGTGGGGTGTGTTCTTCAGCTCCCCACTTGAGGTATCCCAGATAGCACCAGTACTGCCCCATTTTCAGGACACTGAACAAAGACCCAGAGAGCTGTGGACAAAAAAAGAAAAAAAAAAAAAAAAATGGCGCCTGCCATTCCAATAAACAACGAATGTTGCCTGCCGTCAAGGCATCAGTCTCTGCAGCCACACCGAGGGTGCGCCCTGAGGGGACTTCAGGATGGAGAAAAACAGGATATTGGCCCTAGTTAGCTAACGTGCCATATCAAAGGAATCATTTCACTGAGCCCAGACTCTTGCATCTTCCCATGCATAGAAAAGTGCTAAATTCATTATGTTGAGATATGTGTTCTTTTGTGACTAGTGGTCATCTTTTGAGATTCAACCACGCGTTTTTTTCAGCAAAAACTCCTATATATCCTGGCTCCTCCCATACCTCTTTGAAACAGTTACCCAGAGATAGCTGAGCGGCTGTCTCCCAGGTGTAAGCCCACCAAATGAAACATAATTCTCAACTTTCAGGTTGTGTTTTTCCAGTACACAGAGCGAAGACTATGAGGGGATCAGCCCCAAGCTATGGTCTATCAGTGAGGCTCCTGTCCCCCCAGTAGATGGATGAGAGGCTGCCCATAAATCTGTGGACTCCACACAGGGATAAGACCTCAGGGCGCACAGAGGGATGTTTCGGTTGCGGACATGGGCTGGAACCCGCGTCTGCCTCCTTCGGCCGTGAGATCCCGGTAATATGCCTTGTCTCTCCCAGTCTCAGTAACCACCCCCGCCATGGGTTTAAGTGAGTTCAAGGGTTATGTGAACCGGTGGACACCACGCCTGCGCGGCGCTCACGGAGCGCGCGCACAGCCTCGCTTCCCCGCAACTCGAGCGGGGTAGACCGCACGTCCAAGCGCCACCCACCGGCGCCCACCCCAGGAGCCAAACGGAAGCTCCCCTGATACGTCACTTCCGCCAACCGAGGGGGCGGGCTCGGCACCGGATGCGGAAGTCACTGCAGGGGTCACTAGGGAGGGAGGTGTTAGAGAAAGGGGTAAGTGCACGGAGAGAAGCTACATGCTTTCGCTACATGCCTACTCCACGTGGTTTGAAGAAAGAAAAAACAGGGGGAATCCGGGCGCCACAGTGGCCATTCTCCGGTGGCCGGAGCATGTCACCCAGAAACGGCTCCCTCAGAGGCCAGTGGGAGCGCCTGGCGGGCGGCGCGCTTGGTGGCGCCGAGCATACTGGGAGGTGTGGTCCCGGCGCGACCCGAAGATTCTGGGTAGTGTAGTCCTGGCGTCCTGCTGGAGTGGCCCCCGAGCTGGTGGCTCCAGTGACCCCTTGTTCTTTGGTGGCGCTGGTGAGTGTGGCTCCCGCGGGCCCTTGCTGCAGCCGTGCCCTTCCCCGCGCAGAAAGGTAAGTCCTGAAAGACTGGCCTGCGGGCTGGGGCTGGAGACGGTTCGGGTGGTGGGGAGAGGAGGTGGCGGCGGGGACGCGCTGTCGTGGCTCAGGCCGTGCCCTGCCGGGTGTCACATTTTGGGATGTGGGCGCGCATCTCCGAGGGACGTGGGTGAAGCCCAGCTGCGATGCCCAGTGGTGGCGGCTGCTGGGCTCCGGCCTCCTCCTAGGTTCGGCCTTGGCCGAAATAGCGGTATTGGGAGAGGCGGTTGCTCATGCCACGAGTCCCCGGGTTTAGGGGTTTGAGTAAGTAGGCTTTGGGGGCCTTATGTTTCCGAGGGGGTGACAGGTGCCAGCAGCCCCCGGCGCCAGGTGTCTCGAGTTCTGGTGGGTGGGAGCTGGTAGTTTTCTTTCGGGCCCGGCTACCCCTCCGCTTTGCTGAGGCCTCCCGCGGATGGGCGGCCGGCCTGGGCCAACGCGCCGGAGATGGGCTGGGTGTGGAGTGGCCATTTTGGCGCGATTTTGCGGGGTGTGGGGGGGTGTCTCAGTTTGGCTGGTCGCCCCTGGGTTTGGGACTTGGAGGAAGAGGTCGTCTGGGGCCCACCGAGCAAGTTTTTCAGAGGTCCTGGAAACCGTCACTGATCACGGGAATCAAGGATGTAGACGTCTCTGGTGTGGCCCGGCTTTGGGATCTTACATTCCATTTTAAATTTTTATTACGGAGAAATTTTAAAGGGAAATAAATAGAACTCCGTAGACCCATCACGCAGATTTAACCCTTATCACCTCGTGAACAATCTTGATTCATCTCAAAATGATACACTGAGAATCCTTACAACCCACAGAGGTTCGCTGTCACTGCCCTGCTTAAGAGCCTGGCCTCCACAGCCAGATTTCATCCAGACTCTGTCACCTTATAACTGTGTCACCTTAGGCAAGAGACTGACCTCACTGTGCCTCGGTTATCTCATCTGTAAAATGAAAATAATAAATCTTACTTCACTGGGTTGTGAGGCTAGAATGAGACAAAACTCATCCAGCGCCTGGAACAGCCTCCGGTATATACTAAGTGCCCAGTGAGTGTGAACTTCCCTAGTAAAGATCAGCGGTGAGAGAGGATCAGCTAAGGCCCGGTGTTCTAGCCTACATTCCGGCTCTGTTCCCAGCAAGCTGCCCGCAGTCTTTTCTTCTGTGGCAGGTCCCTTCCTGATGCCTTTAAGGAAGAGGAAACCCTACCCTGCTGGAGCTTGAGAGTTTCCAGCGACTCTCCTGAACCTTTCGGTTCTCATTCTGCCCCCTGTGGCTCCTGCCTGCCCAGAGAGGACTGCCTGGTGGGCCAGGGGAGGACTCCTGGGCTCCTGACAGCCCAGCCTCAGGTGGGGACCGCTTGCCTTTTGCCTGCTG